TACTCAGCAACTACCTATGTATGATAACTAAGCATCAGAGAATCCTTACAAAAAAGGTCCAAGTTTCATACACTCCACTATACAATTGCTACCATCACTATCTCTAGCAGGTGCTGGTTTTGAAAGTAAGTAGCACATGGAGTCCTCATTCCTAGACGAATTTTCAAAATTACATACAGATTAAATAACCATATAAACTGATTTCAAATTTTACTGATTTCAAATTTTTTAAAGGATAAGCCTGAATCTTTAGACTACAGTCCTATTCAGCTCTGGGTTAGCTAATAACTTTGATCCTTCTTCTGTTTAATTTATGGTTTTCAACATGAATTTACAGGGAACAAAACTTGTCCAAGCATCAAAGTTCAAGGCTACACTTCCTTTTGCTGATAATGGCTCTGCATTGGAAGTTTTATTTAATTTGCTTTCTGATAACTTCACTGTATTCTTTCATTCTAATTATACCCATCCCAGTGAAACTTTGTTTTATTTTCATTTTCTTTCAACACCTACCTTGACTAAAACAGCGGCTAAAGTGGTGCTAAAATAAGCAGGAAGAAAGAGTTGGAGGAACTACAATTTGATAATAATAAGAGTATTTTAGGGACTCATTATAATTAAGCCATTGCAGGAAAAACATCATCTTTCTGGGAACAGGGCTTCATCCCTATCAAGTGCATCAAAGGAACCTTTAGGATTCACAAATACTTAGAAGCACTGAGGCTCTGCTTTATAGCCATAGTATACCAAAGATGCAAAAAATATTCTAGGTACTCTTGAAAACTACGATAAAGAAGAACTATAAGAGTCCTGCCTCTTAAGATCTGACTAGCCTGCAAAAACATAGGTTAAAATGTCATATCAGGGTAACAAATCCTATTAAGGGTGTTTATCCACCCAAAATCCACGCCTTGGAAAAAGAACATACTTCTAGGCTAGTTTCAGGGGGACTGTTTACACAAAACATGATTGTTGGTATCTATAATCCATGTTGTGTAGGCAACACTTGCTTCCAGTAGTGATATAACTTTATCTACTGATTGGAGAAAGATACAAGGAGAATATTACATAATAAAATATGCATTTGCATTTTATCTGTAGTCCTATTTTTTTTTTAAGAGAAGCAGACTTATGTGCAGAATATTGATTTTTTTTTCCTTCTCTGCTGATAGTTCAACTAGGTAACACACACAGAATAAGATAGTGAGTCCAAGATCAGAGAAACCAACAATTGCTATCTTTTAATATTAAAAGTTCTACTGATTACTCTCTAAACAGGAAGCCCCCTCCATTTGTATTGCTTCTATGACTATAGCGACAGTAAACTGGCAGTCAGCACAGAGTCACTTCCTTTCTTGGAGCCTTCTGGCAGAATAATTGCCACAACACATTCCATGACATACAGCAGGTTTGTATCTTCACCCTCCTAACTGCTCTTTCACCATCAACTCTCAAGATGTCCTAAGTCAGAAAACAGAATGGTGCTAGAAAACTTGCCATATGGAGTGTATGGGACAGTGGTAATGGTATTTGAAATCCCTGCTGAAAAAGCAGTTCAAATCAGAGATCAAGTTTTGCTTGCCTTCTCTTTTTTTTTCTATCATCTTTTTATGTCTAAGGTTCTTAGCCACCTACTTGATGCTTATTTCAACAGCTTTTCAGACACATTACTGTTCGAGTACAGGCTTTAGGCAACTCTCAAAAAAATTGTATCATTACTGTGCTTAGCCTAAAGGTTAGTCAGAAATCAGTCCCACAACAAATACAGCAAGATTATGAGTTTTGAGGTAGGTTGCTTAATCTGAACCAAATACCATCACACTGAATTAAGACACAGAGTAAAGGAACACAGTAAATGGGACCAGACAAAAGAGTAGGCAGCTTTTCAAGTGAAGTGAAAACTGCATAGGAAAAGCCCAGTGCCATGGGTGACACTGGAGAGCTATGAAAGCTTCCTTACCTAGACTATAATTATACCTTCAGAGAAAAGAATGATCTTTTAAAACTTAAATTTAAAAAAAATACTCTCATCTACCTCACCTACAGGCAAGCAAGATTCAAAAGTGTTAACAGAGGTGAAAGACTTTTTACATGAAGGTATTTGGGACAGGGAAATAAGAGTTACAACCGAGATCAGTGATAGACCATCCTGCAGTGTAAATGGGCCTACAGTACATCTTTTTATCTTAACAAAGAAGCCACTTCTCAGCCACAACAAAATTTTTGGCAATTTCAAGACATACAAACTAGAGATATATTTAACAGAAAGAGTTATGCATATGTTTATAAAGATCAAATGTTCCATTACTGTTTGCAATTCACTTTCGTTACAGGTGAAATATCATTTCCTTCTGTATTTCTTGTTCTTTCAATAGCTTAAGAGCATCACTTTCCTTCTTTTCTGTTGCTCAATTATTTTGTTATAGAATCAAAATGCTATATGTTTTCATTTATATACTAATCAATATATAGGTAATGTAAGTAATATAGAAACCTGAACTGTTTACTTTGCTTGGTATTATAAGGCACACTTCCTTCAAATTCTGCTAAAGGAGAACAATATGGTCTGTTGCAAAAAAACATCCCTGCTCACGAGATATGCATTAGAGAAACACCAAGCACTCACTACTTGACTATTATTGCCCATTATCTACCACTCTGACACTATTCAATAAACCTGTCTTACAAAGAGCGAGATCATGTGCACTAAGTATATACAAAAAGCATTATGTATATATTTAACGAATACATTTAACAAAGTAAGAATTCCATAAATTTTTAGAAGTTCCAAGAGTAAGAGAAGCATTGAAACACTCATTACAGGCACTCATCTTTATGAGTCAACAAGTCCCCATTACAGAATTTGGAAACTAAGCAATTCAAATGCTGTACTGAAGCATCAGAAGCATGACAGACTCTAAAAAAACATATTTGATCATATGGAAAGAACCAAAACACATCCAAAATTATTCATAGAGTGAATGCATGGTCTTGATGCTATCAAACAATTAAAAAACCTCTCCACCCTCTAACAGTAAACACAAATATGAAATAACACCAGTGCTTTTAGGGAAAACATCTGGGAACATCTATGTTTTCTATCAGGCTGAATTAACTATTTTAAGAACTTAGTATTTTACCAGCTTTTCTGAATGCACAGGAACTTCTTACACTTACATTATACTCCAAATCTAGATTAGGGAGCTAATTTAAATGGTTTCTATGCAGCTAAAGAGATAAGCTGTTTCTAAAGAATATGGGTTTGGAAACTTAAATACCAGCAGAAGCATTTAATTGTTGGAAGCAACTTTATCCTGTAAAACAAGAGGTAATAGCTAAGACCAACCAGAACAGATAAAGAGAAAACAAAAATGTTTTAAGTCCCCAATAGAACACAAAACTATTTCTAATATAAAATAGAACAATAGTATCTTTAGAAGGATCATCACATGCTGTGGTTCTGTCTTGTTTAGGTGTCCAAGGTTATTAAACTGTTGGTCCTACAGTTAACCCGTTCCTGAGAATGGCTGGTAACTGCAGAAGGGAAACTACAGTTTTTAAAAACAAAATAGCACATCTCAGTCTGGAACATGCATTCTTTCCTTTCTTAAAGCCACCTGGACATCAGACAGACCTGTTCATTTTCCCTTGTGATCTGTGAGCTTCTCTTCAAAAGAAGAGATGCAAACTTTTCCAGCTCGCATTTAAGACTATCCCGGTCATCACACAGAAGCACATTGCATGTGAACAAGAGAAATTTAACCATAAAGCCTTCCTCCTTCACAGTTTAGGTTTCACTGCCAGGGAAATCAGTGATACCCTGAGCATTAATGGACTTGTCTCATTTCCACAGCATGGCTGGCCAGCATGTAACTGCACTGGTTGCTAGGGAGCAGGGAGCTCATTACACAGCATCACCCGCACCCTGCACAAGGATGCTGGCACACACTCCCCATCTGGGACACTGCGGACTGAGAACAGCACTGCAGTGCCTGCCAGCCTCCAGTCTCCAGGGCAGAGCATGCCAATACAGCAGGTGCTAGCTTTAGTACTACCTTCAAGGTTTTACATTCTAGTTTCCTGAGCCAGCCAGTGCAACACAGCACACAGAGGTCAGAATGGTCTCCACAGCTATTGGCATGGATACCCCTTACTTTTAAAGGTCAATTCTTGACAAAGATGTTCTTCCTGAAATTTTGGCAGACATATGGTTTCTGTCACTAGAGCAGTATGTGCCACTATTCTAAAATCTGTGCTAAAGGAGAATTCAGTAAAAATGGAAATAGGCTGAAAAATATTATTTTCAGTCATTAAAGAAGCAGAATATTTGGAAGCATTTAAAGAAGACAAACAGAAACCTTGTGATCTCCAGGCTGTACACAGTAGATCTCTAGAATGGATGCCAGCTGTGAACAATGTGGGTCACTTCGAAGTCTAAACATGCAACCTTAATGCATTTTTTCAGCTATTTGTCTCATTAGCACTCCACAGATCTCTTCAAAATAAAAGAAAAAAAATCTGCCACAGAATAAAGAAGTAATCCCACTTCTACATGCCACTAGATTTATTAACTAACAATCTATCTGCATTACAAAGAGATTGTAGCTAATGATTTTCCTGTACCTGTCACTTCAAATGCCATCCAAGAATCCTTAGTGCTGGTGAATTAACAAGCACATAAGGGAATACAGCTGTAGATATGCATAGATACCTATACATTCAAATCCTTAGGCAACTTCAAAATGCTTTTTTTTTAACAATTGCATAAAGAAACATAAAAAGAAATGAGATGGAAGGCAAATTGGGGTAATTCACTCATCAAAGGCATAGAACAACAGATCTGTTTGAGGTGGAGAGGTAAACACAAAAGTATCAATTTCCTCCCTTACCTGAATTTAACCACTAACATATGAAATAAAGTTTTGGATATTCATGTATCAGTTAAATGCATTTCAAAATAACTGATTACTGTGAAGCAGAAATACATAACTAAGCCTTACCTGTCTCAACAATTTTTCAACAGCTGACATTACCATGAGCCCTCTCCATACAACCGGGGCAGTCTCTTCTATCAAGAAACCCATAGACATGCTGAAACAATAAACAATAACTTGAGGTTTACAGCACAATACCAAGTACATGTGAAAATAAACTTGATTTAAATAAAAACACATGCTTACCATGCGATTCCATAGTTCTTAAGTGGTCTCATTAGATTTTCTAAAACAAAAGCAAACAAGGGGTTTTTTTTTGGAGGGGAGATGGTTTTAAAGTATTTTGTTTTTTTTTAAAGAAGTAAGCTTACACTTTTTTTTTCTTTCAAGAGCAATTTAAATAGTTATTTAAACAGTTAACAGTTTTTTAATTATCTCTATTTAAACAATTATTTTTCCTCCCCATCTCTTCATTAAATGTATGGATTTACCTACTCTGCCCAAGAATCTGACTCCACTTCTTAGGTTGCTACATTTTACTAATACCATTCATCTTCTGCCAGAATAACAATGTGTTTGTCCATAATATAATGTCACTTTGTGCTGCTAAAATCAATCTAATTTTATGAAATCCCTATGCTGAAAGGCATAAATTCCCTATCAGTAATCACTAAAAGCTGAGTCATTTATATTGGAAAAAAACCAAAGTCGTAAAATATGGTGGGATTTTAATTCTTATTTTTTAATCTACTCTATCTACTAATCTCATGAATCAGAGGAGTATTCCCATTAACATATTAGAGATTTGGGGAATTTGTCTCCTTCTGTTAAATCTGCTACAGAAACCCCAGAGCAGAGATACCAAATAAAGCCAACCCTAAACTATACATCGTCAACAGCTTCAAGTAATTAGTCACAGATTTCTTCAGGTTGATAGAAATCTGCAAATCTTCTCAAATTTCTGTAGTAACAAAAGATGCTTATTTGAATATTGCAGATGCATTATCCTTGTCATACTTCTTACTTCTATACCTTCCAGTGTCAAGAATAAAAAGCAGGGAGGGAATATTGTAATTGTTCTGCCCGCAAAAAGGCATGCAAGCAGAAAGCAAACAAAACAATAAAAAAGAAGGCATTCAAAACAAAATCTCGCAAAAGCCGAAACTCTTCCTTGTGGTTTCTACCATCTAAATCCACACCTTATCTCAAAATGGCACACACACTCACAAAAACAACAAATGGCATTTTATTTGGTTTAGCTGATATCTTGGAAGAGCACACACAGGCAGGGACTAGCAGAAAATAGGAAGAATACTTTAAACAATAGAAAATATACAACAATGTAGATTTTGACAGAAATCCTTGATGCACCCGAAGTAAAATACATAAAGAGAGGAAAATAAAAACAATGTGAGTAAAATAAAAACAATGCACTCAAAGCTGAACTCCAAATTCAAATAAAAAAACAACCAAGAACATACAAATTAAACAGCTAAACTCTACAGATGAAAGCTTTCAAGCAATCAAGCAAGTGAGCATTCAAACCATGTAATTTTGTAGAAATATGGTGAAGAATAAATTGGATGTTTTGGTTTACAAATCAAAAACAACAAAACAGGAAGATAAACAAATGTTGTATGACTACTGCATTCAGGAATGAGTTGGGAGCTGAAAAAGAGATTGGCTTGGACTGATACACTGCACCAGTGCATACAGCTCTTCTTGACTTGTGCAGCTCTTCAGTGTTGAGTCAGGACTTACTTTGGTGGCATTATACTGTCTAACCACATTTCTAGCAATCACAGTCTTACTTCCCCTGCTGCAATAAGACAGTTTAGTTATGAAGAGGCTGATGACATTGGAACTTTGGCCTAGAGCCATCTCTAGGCACTGTTTTGGTGACCTGGTAAACAAGACATACACCACAAGTTAAAATACTGTTAGAAGTATTGAGAGAAATTGCTTCATGTTTACCTACGAGAGTGGTTAAAAAAAGAAGAAATAGGAAAAGTGTATTTGCAACAGTGTATACCACTGCAGACTCAAGGTTTCCTTCATTTTTTTTATCACAAAATTGGGACAATTTTAAGACAAAACAAAATTAAAAGGGGAGGCCAAGCTTTGACTGCCGATCATGAGGTTCAGGAACTGGAGAGCAAGATGAATGGAAAAGATGCATTATTCTGGCAAGTTCACCAAAACACTAAGCCACTTCTCAGTTCAGTCCAACTGGGCTACACTATGTGAGTCAGACATCTCAACATGCATGGACAATTTCTTCTGTGCAGAGAAGTGCACAGGCTGAGCACACACACCTTCCAACATCTCCCCTTCCTTCATAAAATAGGACAGTTCCTGTGAGCAGACAAACACTGACCTACAGAGCAACAAAAGGGGCCTCTGTTTTTAAAAATATATGCATGGTTTATTTCTCAACAGCAGAACTTCATTTTACTAAAACTGCATCTCATTTTCTTTGGTTAACAACAAGGACTATAAAATGCTCTGAGCAGCAAGATTTAATCAAATTTATATAATGCAGAGGAACAATTCACAACTTGCCGCATATTCTAGATCTAGTGTTCTGCATATTTTCAAAGTAATACAAAATACTGCAGAGCTCCCCACTGTTTGCCTACTGCTAAAAATCATTCTTAAGACTAATCTCAAATCTAAAGTGCTTCAGTGGGCATTGGTAATCACCCTTGTCTCATCAAAAGCAACATGCCTTCCTTCTCTTTCACTGTGGGTCTCATGAAGATTTTCTAAAACATAACATGTAAAGAAGATTTAGCTTAATGAGATCTCATTAACATCTCTAATTCCCATTGCTTTTATAGTATGCTTTTCTGTTATCAGAAGCCTATCATACAGCTCCAAAACACAACAAAACAGATTTCTTAGAATCATAACACACAGCAATAGCATACCATTTATGCCAAGAGATAAATAAAATAGCCTAGTTTGCAATTTTTCTAGTAGGCTTGATGGCCCTAAGTAAAAGACTGCTGTGTTTTCTCTGAACATACAAAATCAGATCAGCAAGATCAATGTAGCACCAATGACATCAGTAAATGCCTTTTCTGACAGAATACAAGTAGGGCACTAGAAAAGGCAGATGCGTCAGTTTATGACAGCATTATAGCAGATTGCTGATTAAAAGAGTTCTGGGACTGGTCTGAAGATTGAATTGTTACTCACATGGGGAAGAGTAACATTGATGTAATGAAGATGGATGTCCATTACATCAATGAAAATGCATTTTTAAATTCTTTTTTACTAAGCTTTTTCTCCCCAAACAAATCATGCCTTGCAAACAGACTTTCCTAACAAGGTAACTGAGTTACTCCAAATTTTCTCTAAAAAAAAATGACATAGATGTTCAACAATGGCCAGGGTCACGGGGTCAGTAGAGCACAGAAGGTGTGTGCAGAATTACATTACATATATATATATGTATATGGTTTTGGCTGGAGTACAGTTATGTTTCTTCACAGTAACTGCATGGTTACATGTTTTGGATTTGTGATTAACACAGTGTCAAAAACTGTTCTGCTTCTCACACCACCCCACCAGCAAGCAGGCAGGGAATGCGCAGGAAACTGGGAGGGCACACAGCCTGAACACATGACCACAACTGAGCAAAGGGATATCCCACACCATATGGCCTCATGCTCAGCATATAAAGCTGGGGAGACAAAAAAGAATCAGGACTACATTCAACATTATGGTTTCTGTCTTCCCAAATAATAGTTAGACGTGATGGAGCCCAGAGTTAAGTCACAAGGAGTCATTCCAAGTCTTGGCTTAGTTTTTGGAAGTGATCTGTTGAGCAATACGCTAGTGCAAGCAAAAGCTTACATTCTGTCTTACCCCACCAAGTAAGTTAGAAGGTTATTCCGCAAGATTGTCATGTTATGCTACACCTTAGAAAGCATTATACTGTTTATGAAAAGGAAAGGTAGCTTATAATTATTTAATAAAGTTTCTCTGAGTTTTCAAGCATCTGAACTAAGGAGAAGAGGGAGGGAGGGAGGGGACATTGGACAGGAAGAGTAAAAAAATAGTTGGGCTTGACTTGTGTAACCATAGATGCCTCCTGCCACTCTGGATGCCTTAGGGAGCTGAGATTTGTACATGGCTAGCAGATTTGACAGAGAGCATAGGGAGAGACATATCTTCTGAAGGGGCAGCTAGAAGCCTGACATCATACCCCAGGCATGTTTAAAGTAGTACTGGTTTCCAAAGCAAAGGCAAGTGAATTCCACTCACAGAATGGTAAAGAGGAAAGAAATACCACTGAGCGGAGAGGAATGAACTTCAACAGGGCCCCAAGGTACCTTGAAATAAAACAGTGACACCAATCTATTGAAGAGGGTAAAGGATGCTGTCATTATCAAAAGGTTAGTCAAAGTCATACATTTTTAATCCTTGCTTTAACAGAAATCATTGTTTTAACTACTTATGCCAGAAGCCTAGAATATTCTATGGCAAGTGACAGACTAATTGAGACTTCAGGCTTAATTTCACACTGTGCTGTAAGTTTATTTGCAGGATTGCCCCAGAAATACTACAATTTGTATTTTAAGCTTGAAGAGCTCCACACAAGAAGACTGTGATTGCCCATTACATCCTGCACTAACAGTGTTATCTAACCACAAAGACATCCCAAATACTTAACTAAAGCAAACTAGTAATGAGATTTAAAGAGCATAATTCCATGCTCACCGTTCAATTTCAAGATATATATGCATAATGAAATGCAACTTTTCCCAAGAGATTTGATTCTCATCTTTAGAGGGTCTACCAGTCCCATTACCTGAGAAGGTATTACACATTTTTTCCTCCCGGCAGACTGCAGAGGAAACAAAGCTCTGTAAAAGCTTTTTCATTAACAGAACAGTTTTGCAGGTATGACTTTATCAGTCCTACCTAAAAGCAACAGAACTGATTGCTTGCTGGAAGACATGTACTTTAAAAGCAAATCTGGCTCAAGTAAAGAACACAGTGATTTAGAAGCATCTTCGTTAAATTTTAAAGCAGCACTAACTTGTTAGGCTTAAAATAGGTTTAAAACACAGGACTAGTTTTAAGCATCATGCCATTACCTTCCATCACAAATTCCTTACAATTGCTAAAATAACACACATTTTTAAATGCCCTCAGATCCCCAAGGAGCCAAAAATTTTATTTGTAGCGGATCAAAAGCTTTATTAGACTAATTTAGGCAGGTTCTTTTATTTCATTATATCCACAAGGAATCTAATAGACTAACCCAACATTCAG